CACCGCGGGCTCACGGAGCCCATACCCGGGGGCTCGTATCCCCCCCAGTGCTGGGGCTTGGGACCCCAAAACCGGGGGCTTGCATCCCCCTGATCCTGGGGACTCAGGACCCCAGTACCGGGGGCTTGCATCCCCCCGATGCCGAGGCTTGGGCCCCAAAGCTGGGGGCTCGCATCCCCCCAATGCCAGGGCTCACAACCCCAAAACCGGGGGTTCACATCCCCCCAGATGCTGGGGCTCAGGACCCCAATACCGGGGGCTTGCATCCCCCCAGTGCTGGGGCTTGGGACCCCAATACCAGGTCCTCATGTCCCCCCGATGCTGCGCTCAGCAGGTGCTGCCCCTCCCCGGGTCCCAGCCCTGCTGTGGGGGGCCGAGGCACCAGCTCGGGGTGCAGTGGTGGAGGCCCCGGAGCAGGCACGGGGGCTGCTGGGGGCGAGTCTCCGCTGGCAGCGGTGTGGGAAGCAGGGGGGTGGAAAGGGCGTTTATTTTTGTGTTTTGAACCTGGTTTTGCTGCTGTGTGTGGCTGGGGGGGGCTGTGAGCCGTGGACCCCTCCCTGCGCACGCATCCCCAGCCCTCTGCCGAGGGACCCGGCTGCGACGGGGGGATCCTTGCGTGCCGGGTCCCACTGGAGGGACTCTCTCCGGCCCCGGCCTTATCCTTTGTGTGCTGCGGTGGGGCCCTGCCGGGTCGGTCGGTGCCTGCAGGCGGGCTCGGTGCCGGGTATGGGGCTTTGCGGGCAGATGGGGGAAGGAGGGAGCAGGTGGAGGCCGTTGGGAGGCTGGTAGCTGGGGCCCATCCTGCCCGTGTGCTGGTTTTGCCCCTCAGGGACTCCAGCAGCTCCTGCCTGTAGCGTGCTGGTGCTGGGAGGGCATGGGGCTGGTCGGCTGCTCAACACGCTGGGTACCAGTGACAGCAGCCGGCTGGGCTGGCCCTGTCTCACCCAGGCCTTTCCTTCCCTCCCGTGGCTCTGGTCCCCACCGTGGCAAACAAGAGTCCCCCCCAGCATCTCCTGGGTTTGGCACTGGGGGCTTCCCGGGGGCAGCCAGCCAGCCCGGGGTCAGCTACGCTCTGCTCCTTGCAGGCACCGCGCCTTGCACCGATTAACTGGCCGCCTGCTAGCGAGATGCCGGGTGCTCAACAGGTCCCGCTCGCCGCCGTCTGCCTCCCACCTGGGGAGCCCCGTGGAGCTGTGGTGTGCTGGCGAGGGACGGGATGGTGGTTTCCTGGGGTCGGGGTGGGCTCTAGCTGTCTTAGGGCTGAGAGCCGTGTGGGAGGCACCGGCAGGGGCCTGGGAACATTTCAGAGGCCGGGGCGCAGCGTCTGCGGGGCTGGGGAAGCAGAGCAGCTCCCCTTGTTGCTGGAGGGGCCGGAGGCTTTGCGGTGCGAGAGCTCGCCAAGGCAGGTCCGTGGCTTCGGGCAGCTCCTTGGTGCGTCGATCCCTTCAGAAAAGTGCCCCTTTGGGGAGGAAAATGTGTGCATGATTTGCCAAAAGGCAGCGAAGGAAAGGGCAGAACTGAGGGGTGCGATGTGCCCTGGGGAATGGGTGGAGGAGCTGCAGGGACCAGGCACGGGGTCTCCCGGGACAGAGGCGTCAAGGGCTGGCATTGAAGTGGGGGACGGTGCTGGGCAGGATGGCGGCTCCTGTCCCCGGGCTCCGCACGCTGCCTTTCACCCCACTCCGCTCTCCCCCCATGGCAGCCGAGGCTTTGGACGGACGCTCCCGGGGAGGGCTGAGGAGCCCCTTGCGGGGGCGGGCGGTTGTCGTGAGGGCTGAGGAGCCCATGGAGGGGTGCGGGGGCTTCCCTCCCGCCAGCTCCGTATGCTGGACCTGCCGATGGATCTTCCTTTTGAGTGAAATCCCGTGAGTGACCCAGGGCGGGAGCTCGCCCCACCGAGCTGTGGGAGCAGCGTCTTCCTCGTAGTCCTGTCTGCGGGCGCAGGGCACAGACGAAAAGCAAAACAGGGGCACACGTGGCTTCTGCGTGGGCAGCGCTGGTGCAGCCCCTCCGGCTGCTCAGCCGGCTGCAGCTCTTCGGGAGGAGGCTCCTGAGCTTTCAGGCAGGAATAAACGTGCAAAAGTCATTGGTGATTAAAATGCCCAAACGTGCTCCTCTGGGTGGTCTGGGTTTACGGGGTGACCTGCAGCTCCGGTGCCCCTGCCCCAGGTCTCACTGGGTCAGTCCTGCCTCCTCAAATCCAGAGCCTGGTCATGGAGCTGGAGGTTTAAGAGAGTCCCGGGGCGGGTGGGAACGCAGCCAGGTGCTCCCCTGACATCGGCCTGGCTCTGTGGCAGACAACGGGTGCTGGGGAGCATGCTGCTGGCCTTGCTGTGGCTCCTGCTTTGCCTTGGCACTGGCAGCGGCTGAAGGAGGGTTCTGGCTGCCATGAGCCACTGGTGCCGAGGGAGGTTTGGCTGAAAGCTTCCAGCTCTTGTAAAGGCTGCGCTGGCCCCGTCGGGGCTGCTCGTCTGTCCTCTGCTCCTGCTGCCATTGATGCTCTTGGGCAGCTGGAGATTTTGCATCTCCATGTCTGGCTGCTCCAGCAGTTTGTCTCAGCGGGTCGCTGCTCTCCCCTCCAGCTCTGGGGTCTCTCCTTGGAGCGGGTGCTCTCGTGGTCCTGCCCTCCTGACCCTCCCCATCCCTGATCCAAAGCTGACAGTCACACCTGGGGGAAGGAGGGAGGTTTCTGCCTGAGGAATAACCTGGGAGCCCTTTGGGAAGGGACTCAGGACCCTGCT